AGAATCCTGTTAAAGACCTACTTGCCATGATTCGGATTCCAGACAAAGGCTTAAAGTCCTTCTCTAGGATAAAAACGAACAAAGCAAAGTTATATTGCTCATTTTGACAAGTTACAAATAGAAAACGATTGCGATATGTTTCATCAATTGAGATAATTTGCATTAATTAAAAATATTATTAATGTAACTAGTTGTACATTGCCTTTAAACAGTTGAACCAATTCATCTCTAAATTACACTAATCAGCACAGTTAACTACGCTACTTCCTCAGACAGTAAAATTTGAACGAATCTGATTTTTGAAACGTTGACTTCAGCGAATCAAAACTGTTTTCGTGAAATTTGGCATCTTCACTGCACCATTATTGCTCTCAAATTATTTCTTCACAAATTGATTTTGCCATTATTGTGAATAGTTTTTTTCACAAAAATAAACATTTGCCACATTTAACATCAATATTATAATCACAATTTTCAAAACAGACAAGTCAAATAAAATATGTATAAGTAGGCATATGTTGAGCCTCGCTGAAGCTTAAACAGATTTTTAGAAAAATAGAGTAAAACAAACAATGTCAAAACTTGCATTATTAAAATCACAACATTTTGCACAGTTTTTTTAAACTGGCGTTTAAATTAAAGCATAAAGTATTGTGACTCTTGAAAAGATCTAATTTGAAAATCATTTAGTTTTCGCAATATGAGATGATGCGTACCTCCCTCCAGGGCGAAAGTATGTCGAATCACTTCGATTCTGTGTTTAGTAAGGTGCCGCTTCACTTCTTGCTTTCTTGAGGTTCGTAAAATTGGGTCGCATAACATTTACCAGATTTGACCCTTGAGTCGCCGCCGCAAAGCTGGCTGCCACATTCTGCGCTTGCCCGTAGTTTGAACCAGTCATAGTCATAGAAGGGTTGAACGCCCCAAAAGCCGCATTAGATGATGTCGCAATCTGATTGGCTGACGCAGGCGCAAAACCAGCCAAAGAGAAACCAGGATTCAACAGTTGAAGCATCTGATTGGTTGATAGACCAGCGGCTGCTGAAGCGAAAGCAGGATTGGCAGAAAGAGCCAATGCTGCTGCCTGCAGCGAAGCATTGTTGTTCCCGTAACAGCCGTTCGAAGCACCGAACGCTCCGGAGGTCAAAGACGATGGATCAATCCCCAGACTAAAACAGAAATCCCGAATTCAAAATTATCGAACCATATGATGAAATTTTTCTGAATGGAAGTGATGAGTATTGCGATGTCTTCGGTAATGAAGATGCAGCATCAATCAAAAACATTTGGCATACTTTCATGAACAAATGATTAAACAAGATTCCAAATGACAAGACTTTATTTGCGTTGCAAGTATCAAACTGCACATCTTATTATAAGGGCATCTTATTATAAGGTGCATAAAATCAAACAAACAACCCATCATTTTAAGCGCATATGTAACAGTTTTAAGAACAATCTGACTACTGAATAGCCGTAAGTAGCCACTCTGTCTAACGAGATCAGATTCATAGATCCACAGAAATTTATCTGATCTTTTTCCTACTATTTTAACAGAACCTTCACTTTAACGATTTAAAGGTCATGATAATTTTTTTTAAATGATCATGCTATTTGTAGAGTTTTCGAACCATGCAGTTATGTTGAATGTCACACTCATACAATATATGCTATTATGCCAGAGTATTGAAGTACATTAAAAAACGAAATCATTTTTTTTCTCATATTTTACGCAACTTCATTTATAGTCGTAGAACGGCTATCCGAACAAAATTTTGAAAATGGTCTTTAAAGTTGAAGGTTGGCGATGATCTAAAATGGTAATGATATGATATCTTGATGCAGCATTCTGATTTGGGAATTATTTGCTGTGAGTTGCCACTAATTCATTAAAATCGAGGCCAGATGTTCCTGAATTTGGCTTGGGCCATGTTGGGGCCTGGCTGGATGCTTTATGGTGCTATACATTTAATGAAGATGCTCGAATTGATGGTGGCGGTGGTGGCGAAGGTGGTGTTGGGATATTGGGGGGTTGGAAAGTGTCGAAGGAGGGGAGGGGAGGGTGGTGTGTTACCTGGTGGCAATTTGGTGGCATGCATTGGTGACTGCCTGCTGGGTACCCGTCACGGTCACCACCCGTGCGGGCCCAGAGGTCTCCGTCATGGGGGAGATTTTTATACTAGCTCCCGAAGAATTTCTGCAAAACATCAGCACCGCTATACACTTCACTAGACACGGGGTTGACATACAAAGGTATGGAATGGTAATTTTTGACTGTGAAGTAAGGTTTAAACGTGAAGAAGGGAAACTGATTTTATTGCAAGGGAGAAAAATTCTACAGCCGAAAGACTAAGAAATCCTTGAGGTTTGAGGTTCGGGTAAGATGTATTTCAAATGCGTTTCAAACGATCTCAACCTAAAAGAGCACATTTTGTGTTATCAATCTCAATTTTCGTAACAATATTTTTAAAAAAGCGTTCTACAATTTGATTTTATGCAGTATCTAGTATAAAGCATTGTATCTGTAGACTAAAATAGGGTAGAACCATTCCAAAGACAATAAATTCCTATGAAATTTTTTTCTGAATCCAGTTCTGGTTATGCAATATGAGGTTCCGTAGGTCTAACATCAATAAACAAAGTGTTACTCTTAGGTTCAATGAGTTGGGGGAGGGGAAGGGGTTGGTTGTTACGCACAAACAAGTTCCAAATACAAAAATTAGCATCACAAAAACAGGCGCAGCAGTCAACACTGGATAAAATCGAATTGCGATAGAGGACTTCGTGAACGTCTACATGCCAAAATGGGGGCATTCATAACAAATTTCTTCATTTCTACATAAATCATCAATAAATCATTTTTAAATTTTATTTCTATTGTTCTGACGCTCGTTCTTTTAATTCTATTTCTATTGTTCTGACTCTCGAAGAAAGTACGGAATATTTATGCTTGGGTTGGTTTTTTATTCAATCAAGTTTCGGCTGTTAAATTGAGCGTTTTTGACAAACTTATTTACACCTTCGGAAAAATATTGTTGTGCGAATGTAAAAAAAATCACTCATATATACAATTTTTGAAAATGTTTCTTGTTTTTTGGATTGAATCAATCTAGGACTGAAAATTTCAAAGACAAATCTATTTGATGAAATTTGGATGTTTGAATCTGGAAAAAAAATCATTTTTAAAGCACAAAGAAGGCATAACTAGTTTTGCTTAACTATAATTTTTGGTTTTTGAGACCAATCTGATTATTTTTTGCACACGCAAGTAATTACAAATCAATTTCGTGAAAATTAGTTTAGTTTTAATTCATCTCGGTCTTAGAAACCTTAACATAAGCAGTTTGTAATCTTCATCCACTCAATAAACCTAACCATATGATAGTCTTTTTTGAAACTCGTCAACTTTATACTAGTATAGAAAGGGGCATTCGTTTCAAAGAGGCAATTGATAATTCATTCAGGTGCTTTGACGCTAATGAATAACTTCTTTGTGTTTACCGCAGTTTTTTCACTGCAAGCGGATACTTATAAACTAAATTTTAATTTCAACAAGTCAGCTCGGATCTGTGTGTAGCCTTGAAAATTCCGACTGCCCTGTAAGATTGATTGAAAATTTTTTGCTTAGACCAATTGTTACAAAATAAACAAACTGGAGGCAACTTGTTTTTTTGAACGTTTTTAATTCTTAGTTGTATCATATCACTCGCGTACAGCATATAATTTACAAGTTGATACTTTTTTTGTGTTTGGTAAAGTAATTATCAATTCACTTTTGAAAAGCATATTTGGCCATATATTCTTTAACAAGACTGCTCGTGTATCAGTGCAAAAACTGAATGTTCCTCTACCCTTTAAGTGGTTTCGAATAATTTTTAATAAACAAAATATTGGTAAATTATGAATCTTGATCTGAAAAAATTGAATAGATATGCGTTAGAGTTTCAGTCGCACATGGAATTATTATGACCAATTAGCTTACCTCAGTTCATCTTGAAACGTTTTTGTAACTGTCGTTTACAAATAGTTTGCTCAGTTTTAAACATTTTTATATCAAAATTTTGAACGAGCAGTTTAGCGAGACTTATTTCACAAATGACCTAGAGTGGTGTTACAATAGCGATAATCATGCCCTTGCTGGTACATACTCAAGGATTAATATCCACACTCAGCAGAAGTTCTTTGAAAAATTATCTGAATAAAAAAGCAACCCAAGCATATAATTTCCTCAGTTTCTTCAAAGTTGAAATAATATCACAAAAGCTTTTGCGCCGGTGAATGTTTTAAATTGATTAATAATAGTCAATCTAGTCCATAATTCAACTTTCATAAACTTAGCTACAAAATATATATCACATGTGGCGCATTTTTTGAGTTTAAGCTTTCGGCATGTCAAACTCAAATGGTATACAAATCCCGTCTAAAATGGCCAGGTTTTGTTGAAGTTTTCTCGACTTTTTTAAGGCCGACCAAATTGGTTCTTCGAGCTCTCTCAAAGCCTTATAAAGACACTATTTTGACCAAGTTTTCTGCGCTTAAATTTCTTTGGGGACATTTTTCGAAAACTTGTGGGTGGAATGTTTTGACAAAAATGTTTCGTTTTTTAGCGCGCGCTCCCCCCCAAGTTAGTATATAATGGCGTCAAATCGGCTTTAGTAATTTTTTAATGGATACCCAAAAAAAGTTCCAAAGGGTGACTTGGGTCGGCTAGGGGTCGATTCTCTGAATGAGGCGTCCGCCCTCTATCCTCTATGCTCCCCTAAATCCGCTACTGGGTCAAACTTTCGTGTAAATAAGAATAAAACTGTTTGCACGCAAGTTGATAGCTTATATCAACCTCGGGTTTTCAGCGGGTCGCAAAATTCAAACCGACTGATTTTTCAATTTCATCAAAAAAATTTTCCAACCCAGATTTTAACATTATAATCAATTTCATGGTTAACTAAAAAAAAATGAATAATGAATTTACTCTTTAGACAAATTTGAAAATGTTGTGTCTTCTCAGAAGTTTTGAAAAACTTTGATTGATAAATTTGCATTTCATTTTCAAATAACATCGTATGAGATGAAAGCACCGAATCTTTTAACTGTATTTATAATTGACGCAAAACCATTCACGGCAGAAAGCTTGATAAAATTTTCGAAAAAAGAGCTTTTTATTTTGCTTATTTTCGGCAAACGTTTATGCCCAAATGCAATATCGTGTCGAGATGGATGAAAAAAAACTTGTCATTAACGTAATATTTAGACGGTTTATTTTGTGTCAAATAGTTTTAAAACAATTTTGAGCTATCAATTTGACGTGTTAAAAAACGGGATGAAAAAGCAGCTCCAGTGAAATTTCCTTTTTTGTTTACATTGTAGTAATCAGTGCTGAAAAATCTATAACTGCTTGAACCATAATTAGTAAGGAATTTTGTCTACAGGCATCTATGCTTATACTTTTTCTCCACTCCAAATTAGGTAGCACAAAAAATGCCCGATACGGTCAGGTGATATACCATTGTTAATTTTTTAAAATTAGTGTCAAAACCATTTAAAATAATTTAAAAAAATCGCAAGCAAAAAAATTGGGTGAGAACTTAAAACTAGAATAAAGGGAAGAATTGACAATCAAATTACATCGTTTTACTTTATTTTTGCTGAAAATTGTTCAAACTTTGAAAAAGAAGCTAGAAATAAAACAGTCATGGTACAAACAAAAGTGGCAATCTCTTTCTATTTCAAATAACAATTGAAAGTTTTTTTTCATGTTTTTGTCATTTTCGCTGCAACTATTTACTATTTAGATTAAAGGTTTAAAAACTTGACAAAAGCTAGGTACTTTTTTTTGAAGGGCTCTGGTCGGATCAAGATATGAGAAAACTTGTTCTGAAGTCGTAAATTAGCTGGTACATCAGAATTAGTTTGAGAGCTGTCGTTGCTGTGGAAAGAACCTTACTGTGGCAAAGTTTTGGCAAACAGAACAATAAATTTGAACTTATGGGGTCAATTTAGTTTTTTGGTAGCTTTTTCGCGGAAAAAGTTGCTTAGTCAGGCTTAAAAAAAGCTGTTCAATTTATAAAATTTTGCGCTGATTTTATGAAAAAAGCCAGCAAAAGAACTTTTCCAGCAATTACTGCAAAATCATGGCTGCTTCAATCTATGCACAAGATAACCATGATCACAAGATAATTATCTGACATTTCGTTATTCAGGGTTATTTTGTGATGTGATACCTAACTTTTTTGACGCGTAACTCTTTCAATAATTTGTGCGTCGTTTTTCCACGGCAAAAATAACAAATCAAGCTCTTCCGCTGCTCAAAAAAAAGTAATTTGCGTTGTTTGCGAAGATTTTTCCACAGCCAGGACACCTTTGAAACCAGTAAAGATACACCAGCTATTTTACGCTTTCAAAATAAAATTTCTGAACATTTGATCCCGCCAACGAACTAGAGCTAATTTCATCCAGCATTCATCAAGGTTTCCACTTTTTTTCTAAATAGTTGCAGAGAAAACGATAAAAAATGAAGAAAAAATTTATTCATTTAAATCGAAACTTTACAACTTCTATGTCCCGTCACTGTTAATTTAAACTTCGGTTAGCGCTTCCATTGCGCCGATAAATAAATTAAAATTAAGTTTCAAAGATAACCGAGCTCGGATCTTTCTCCACTAAGTGCATAGCAATCAACTGTTCTTGTTTTTTTTTCATATTTATTTCAGTTTCGAGCGCTGATGCGAGATTCTAATAAATACTGCGTGGTTTTTTAGTAAGGCCACAACTTTCAAAGTTTATAACTTCTGAAATAATTGCAACAAAAATTTTGCTGTAGAGTCATGAGAAATAACCAAATGAAGTCATATAAAAATTGATTGGACTATGATAAATACTAGAACTCAGAGTTCATCTGAAATTTTTGTGATATTTTTCTAGTCACAGAATATGTTCCATGTGATTTCCATTCTTCGGAAATGCAATGCAAATTGTTGTTTTTTAGTGAAAACCGGCAAAAAACTACCAAACTTACAACAAAAATTAATTGATCACGTACAATCGTTTCTTTTAGTATCAAGTGTAGCTTCAGATAAAAATGAAAACAGATACAGTGGGCTGAAGTTATGGTCTTGCTAAAAAATCACTTAGTATGTTTCAAACAAAACCCAGTTTGGGGTTGGCAAAGCTTTGAAAGTTTTGAAGTAGGTTATGGATTAGACCCTGCCTGTATCCCATAGGTGTAAAAGGTCATGGACAATTCATGGCTGCTGGAAGTGGTGTGAACTGAAAGTGGAATAATAGTTAAAGTGGATAAAAAAGAGAAAAAAGGTTTTGTAACTTTCGGTTTTGTGGATATATGAAGGAACTCTGAAATTCTTATATGCTTTAGGACCGGGAAAACATTCTTAGTTTGTAGTGGGGCGTTATGTTCGGTTTTATGTGCTGTCGGCCAAACTACTTACAAGCTACTCGCTTCCAAATATTCGCGCTAAAATTATCAACATTTTGGTTTGTAATATCCAAAAAAAATCAAACCGTCAAACATGCAAATGATAACAAACTAATCAGCTAAAAATGTATCAGAATAAACTTTTAAAATCAACAGGAAACATCTGAAAAGAAACATTGAGCTTATTTGGTTGATAACCTAAAAACAAATAGTTTGGGCAAAAACTGTGCGTGAGGGTTAAAAGCGGGTGGCAGTTACGTAGCGCTTAGCAGGGCCGTGCTACCGGGTCCCAATTCCCAATGCAGCTTCAATCCAGAAAGCATATATATTTTGTTCTTTGATCCTCGGAGAAATCTCATTGGCCAATTGTGTCAGCCATTAGCATTCGACTCACTAAGATGTGATTGGTTAGTCGGGTCGACCAATTGCATTCGAGCTGAGACAATTTCGTTTCGCATCTGCACCCAAAGGACGAAATAAGACATAAGAATAAGGGAACGGATACTAATAATAGGAGAAAGAATTTGATTGTTGGGCGGATAGTATAACAGCAACAAGGCCGACAGATCATAAAACACAACGCGACGAATCCAAGAGTTATCCCACGTGTAGACATAAGTAATAAATGAGGGCACACCAAGTTAGTAATAATATGGTATATGTGCTACAGGGTAAAAGAAGGGTAAACGAAATAGGGAGAGAGAATTGTGAACAATAATCAAGGCAAGTTTAATCATCATCACCATCATCATTAGGAAAATTAAATGGCATAATTTGTAATCAGTTGAGATAAAATATTTGAAATATTTTTGCTTCTTTCATGCTTTCGACTTTATTGACCCGCCCTATTTTTTAGTGCCGCAGGCAAAACTTTGAAAAACAGGCCAAAAAAGGCGTTAGTAGGCATTTTTTGGAAAATTTTGATTAAAAAATCTCGTTTTTTTTGGCGCGCGCTCCCCCCTCAAAATTAGTTTATATTGGCGTCAAAGGCCCCTTCAGAAAATTTTTAGGGTCCGTCACCAAAAATGGATATCTCAAAATAGTACAAAGGGGGGACCCTTTGGGTCAGCTTGGAGTCGAATCCCTGATGGAGAAGCGTCCGCCAAGCCCCCCCCCCCTCCCACCTAAATCCGCCCTGCTTGAAACCTTTGTGATTTTTCAAAATTAAATTGAGGACAAAACATCAAGTTTCGCTTTTTAATATACTAATTAATATATAACTTCCCCATTTCAAAAGAAGCAAAAGGCTGCTGCAGCTTTATGATTCATAATTTATCTACTAACAGCAGGATCTAGGTTATAGAAGGGAGAAAACGAATGATTGAGGTCAAAGGTCTGCAAGCAGATTTTAACCCACTTTAAACCCAAATGAAGGAGCGAATTCTTCAGACAGGAAAGGAAAAGCAATAAAAGTGAACAAGTGATCAATGATACAAACGCTGCTGACAGTAAAACATCATTCATACAAACCTTTATGGTTTTTCTCGATACTTTCAAAAAATTTTGAGCAAAGTTTTAGGACTAACCAGTCAAATATTGTGTATGCAGCTGTTCGCTTGAAAGCACCGTCTTGATTTCGTAGTTCAGACCAGCGTTGATAAACGAAAGAATACGAAGTAAAGCGGTCACCAGAAAGCTCACGAGTTTCGATAGCTTGAGTAAAAAGATAAATTAACTCGAATTAACAACTAAGTAATCTACAAATGAACATTGAAATTAATATTTCTAACAAATAAATTGCATTTACATTGAAGGCAGCTTGTTATAATTGCAGTAATAGGCATTTAATCTTCAGTTTAGAACGAAAACAACAAAAACAACATTGATTGACATGTGTTTTTTTTTCATCAGCACCATTGGCAAAAATAGTAGCTTGCTTGATGATTTCATCTATGAATACTAACCGAGTAAAGATTAGATATTTCAATATTCATGACCCGATTCGAATCGAATGATTTCATGAAGAAGCCAAAGCTAAGAATAACATCGAAGGAACATCTCAAAAGGATTGTCGAAATCGTACATTTTCGGCTCCATAATATTTCGGTTAAGGAGGACGATGATAGCAAAAACGATAAACGAAGGAAAACATCAAAGTGTGAAGGTAACATCGAGATAATTTAATTAGAAGTGAGGTTTGTCACATTGGAATGTTGACAAGTAGAAGAATCCGACGTCACGGTCGAGGATGCATTGTTAGCCGAACTTGAATTAGCCGACGATGCAACCACTCCTGCACTTTCGGCTGCGTATGCGTTCGGATTATTGGATCCTGCCGACGTTGCGTGGAGCTGCAGTTGCATCATACCATTAGCCGAGTTGTTGTGATGATGTGTCGCCATAAGATGCTGGTTGTGATAAGCGGTCATCGCGGCGGCACCGGAGACAGCCGGGTGGTGTTGTTGATATGCGGACGCAGCTGTTGCGGCGGATATAAACCAAGGCCAGTAGATTGCCGCCGACTGATAGGCTGCGAGATTATTCAAGTAAGCAGCGGCTGCTATGTTTTGTTGCGTGTGGTGGGGATGATGATGGGGATGTTGATATGCAGAGGCATGCACGTCGGCCGAATGCCACTCGCCGGCGGCGCCACCCGGGGCCCCGCTAGCACTGCCACCCGAACTCACGCTCGTACTGTTCTCGCAAACACACTTTGTTAACCATTTTATGTTCATTCAAAATTAACCTACATGTTTTAACTCATTTTGAGCAATTGCTTTTCTCTTCTGGTAGCGGTTTGAATTAGTTTGAGTTAATTCGAGTCACGCGGTATGATCCAACTTTCAGAAGAAAGAAACTATCAAATTTGTTACTCTCCGCAGAAAAGACCCCATACAGGTTCGATCACTAGGACTTTAAATTAAAAGACAACAACACCAAGATCTCTAGACACAGTTAAATACTAGACACTGAGTGGGTTCCTGTTCACATTTACTGACCTGATGTCGTTGATCCTGTTTCCATGAGGACCAATTACGCAACCGATGACCTAAACGCAAAACAATGCATGATGAAAACAGATTTCCAACTAATCGCAAACTTCATAATCAGTCAGTTTTTATGTTTTGTTTTAAGTTCAACATGTTTTTTAGATTTGTTTTCTTGTGATATGAAAATTATACAAAAACCGAAGTTTGACCTAAGCTTGAAAGAAACAATTAAATATGCATCGATGTAATTTTTCAGTATCTTATTCTCTACCATTTTAAGGGAAGTTAATTGGAGACTACTCCTATAAAAATTGTATTTATCAATTGCATTAAAACTAAACTTGCGGTGGTATACACTTACATCATTGGGAATTGTGAGTTCTTGGGTAGTTTGCGTGGAATGGGTTCCTGCCGACGACACCCCCGGAGAGCCAGAGCCCCCCTGGTGGCCAGTAGCCCCTCCCCCAAGGGACGCCCCTGCTGCACTGAATGTATTGAGGGGCGTAGCGCCCAGCTGCATCATAGTTGCGGGCTGGAGGAACGACCCGTAGAAACTCGACAGCTGGGCTGCCTGGATCTTTGCCAGCTTGAAATAAACACATCAATCAAGAAATAATACAAGTAAAAAGTTAACCTAAACATGAGATATGATTAAAATACGATACTAAAAATCAACAGGATAAAAGCATCATAGTTGCAATAAAGAATTAATAACTAAAGCTAGCCTTTGATTTTGGAGTCTATTGTAAGATGTTACATTATGGCTTCATCAGACTTTCTGAGATATCACTTATTGAGTTTACAAAAGTCTATGATGTAAATTGCCTGAATGAAATGGATTTTTATGAATGACTTCATGATTTGGATGACCATTTAATACCTCAAACGATTGCATGTATGCTAAGTCTGCAATGTCTTGATCATAATTTGGAACCATTTGGTTCTCTTGCAGCATTAAACATCCGTCGAATGTCGGGTGATCGGACGGAACTGAATTTGATAATTGTCCGCCAGGACCACTGGTGGAAGTATCGACATCAGGAGTTGGTAACACATTAATGTCATTTTGGTTTGACATTCCACTTACGCTGCCGGTCGCATTTGGTTCAGAGACATTTTCGGTCTCATCCTTATCCTTGAAAAGTATCATTAATGTTTTGAATCAACGTCTGAACTCTATTTATTGAACTTTCAAAATCTGAACTCTATCTCAACGTCTGAAGGTATTTATTTTAAAATCAGGTTGAGAAACGCATAAAAGAAAAATCTTAGATTTAAAAAATTAAAGGTATCGTTACTTATATTCTCGAATATTCGCATTTACTTTTTCTGATACTTTAGCGCTAAAGCACTAATATGATTTGCCTCTCAGCATAAAATAAAATGAGCAAAAAAGTTTTAGAAAACATTCTCACCTCGCTCTGGGTGGTGTTGGGCATGAACTGGGAGGAATGGGTTGCGGCTGCACTGGCCGGGTGAATGCCATAGGGCGAGGTCAAGAAGTTATTCCCCATCGACACTCCCCCATGCATGGCCCCAGTTGCGAAGTTGGGGTTGCCACCGGCGGCGGCCACTGCTGCTGCGGCGGCGAAGGGGTGCGATGCTGCTGCGGCTGAGAGGGCGGGGTGGGTGTTGGCTATGATGGGACTGCCAGACACTACGGAGGATATGGGTTTGGGCCTGTAGGGAAGAGTCTGTCCTTTCGGAGGGGACTAGAAAATATAAAATCATACTTACAATTAAGCTTAAAATAACATGAAATTAAAGAAACTATTTACTAAACGTTCAAAAATTACTAAAATAAATTCCAGAATTTAATTTCTTATCATAAAAATGTCGATATATTTTGGAGTAAAGCTGAGTAATTTGCAGTGAAAACTGTTCGAAAAACTGGAAATCGATACCAGAAACTATTATAATAAGAGTGTCGATATAATTTGGAGTAATGTTAAGTAATTTCTTAAGTAATTATTATTATTTATATGAATGTCATTGCAGTTGCGTATAGAGTGACAGTGAACTAATTGTGTGACCTCAGCCATGATCTTGCATATCTCCATGATGCAGTTGGTGATGGCCTCCGGCATGCCCGAGATAGTGACTGCTCTCTCGGTCGACTGGGGCAGATAGTCGCCTGCCACCTGGATCGTACAGCCAGTGTGCTAAAACAAACAGCCCAAAAGTCGATCAGATGCTCTTTTTTCATTAAATTGTATACTTTTTTTACCATAGTTGTTGCATCTTGGTTAAATCAAAGCGCTCAATGTATGCGATTGAATATATTAGATACGTTTGAACAGAATCGTTGCGGGATTGATCACAGAAGACGTTTGGAAGTTCGAGAGCCCTCAGATGTTTTCTTCAAATTGGATGAATCTTTTCTGTCTCTGTTTTTTTTTTTAAATCAAACTGCATAGTCTTTATATAACTGTAATAAAGGTTACCTCTCTGATTTCCTTGATCTTTGAGCCGCCTTTGCCGATGATGGATCCACACTGAGATGCGGGCACTATGAGTCTGAGTGTGACCGGGGGTTTGGGACAGTCTGCAGTGAGACCCTCACTCATGTCCTGAAACACAACAACAACCACAAGTTATATTGATATATCTAACTTCAACCGTTTTTAGCATAATTCTTACAAACACACTTTGAGCAAAACGTTTTTATTCAGTTAGTTTTTAGTATCAAAAATGTCAAGCAGCATCAATTGAACAAAAAAAACTCAAGCCTCGTTGCATCATGCTTCTTCCTGATATGGTAGAAACGATGATCGTTATACAGGAATCTGTTGGAATTGAACTCACCTCTTCGAACTTGTATGATATCATGGCGAAAGCTTTGTTCAGGCACTCGTTAGCTCCAGTCAATGTCACTATCCTTTCTATGCTCTGACCATCCGAGATGTTGATCCTAGCTCCACTCTGCAACAAAGCCAGAGCTCAGACCACATAACAAAACTGACTGGTTCAACATACTTAAATTACGTATGTATATTTGATAACCAAGTTTTGCTCTATTTTTGTTGCGACCATTGAAAATGGGGAAGAAATTTGTAATCGGGTATGTTTTAGTTTTTCTTTTTTTTTTTGCTTTACACGCAAAACCAGGTACCACAAATAATTATCGGACTAGGTTGAGTGATACATATTAAAGCCCTTTCAGTCGTGATTCGAACGAAATTTTAAATTTCCAAGAAAAAATTCCCAGTGTCGAGAAAAACCGGATTCAAATTTTTGGTTTTTCGTCTTATTTAGAATGAATAAAGTGATGATTTGTTAAATTGGTCAATTAGGCTAAAACAAATTGGTGTTTCCGAACGAAAATCAGTTTTAAACGCTATATTTGGCATTTCCCTGGCAAAAAAAATATTACAAAAGTTTTTTTTTAATTTTGTTCGGGTAGTTCGATATTTTTTCAAGTTTTTGTTGGTTTTTTAACGCAACCGTTGTCGATTATGCCCAATTTACCAACTTTTTACGCGTGTGTATAGTTTTATCATCACACCACATACAAAAAACGACACTAATTTATAGAACTTGATAATTAGAAGAACTTTTTTTGTTGTTCCTAGGAACAGGTCGGAATATTCTGTGCTACTTGCACAGCAACCGGTTATCCTTGATCAGCTATGCGTTTCTCTCGCCTACAGGCCAGAATGTAACGCTCGTTCTTAGAGGTATTTTTCTTATTTTTTCACTGCTACCAACTTTCATCTATTATAATCGCATAACACAACTCACAACAAAAAATAACTCGCAATACTTAAGGAAAGCGACAGCTCGCAGCAATAAAAGGTGATTAACGTTCTCTTTTTAATCATAATCTAGACTGGAGACAAACACTGATTCACGCGCATTATACCATTTGTTCTGGATATAAGCGCAGTGGAGCGAGCCGTCGGTACAAACCAATGCCCCGTATTTATCTGATTTTAACACTTTGTGAGTTGCCGCTCTCCGTAAATTTTGAGTGACTTTGTTAGGAGTTGTCGCGGTACCGTTTCGACGCCAGGGTTGACTGAACTTCTTCTTGACTGTGTTTTTTAAAAGTTAAAAAATGGGCAGTGAGCTATTTTTGTCTATATGGAAATTGTATTTCAAAATTTCCTAAAAACGTTTCCAGTGTCAAAAAACTATCAATTTTCAATGAAAAATGTCTCATCGACCGACTCAGTTGATTAAAATGATTTTTAAATTAAATTTTACGCTGCCAGATGTTTTCGTATTTCTTTAAGTACCACCCCATCCCTATTGCAAAAGTTGAGGAACTCTTTACGTGGTACGAAGTCCGCATATGCTCAACCATTGATTCAGCAGTTTTTATGTAGCAGCAAAAAATTTTCGAGGGGTGTCGTTTATTTTTCAGAATTTTGGTCGGCTTTTTTTAGGCTGGTCGAATATATTTTCGGTACTCTCCCAAATCACTAAGGAGACCTACTTTTTAAAAACTTGAGCATTTTTTGAAGCAATTTTTTGCGTTGGCTTCCATCTAAAAGTTACTAGTATATATTGGCACCAAAAACGCCTTTCGAAAAATTGTTAAGTCAGTTGGCCCAAAAGGTACGACATAAAAAGGTACAGAAATGAGAGGAGAGATAAATTTGGCAACCGAATTTCAAGAAAAGATGGGCGGTTGATACTGAATGTTAAAGTTTTCACACCTCAACAACCCTCGGCCAGCCAATTGACAATTAAAATTGACTGCCTTTTGCCCGTTCTTTAGATACGAATCAGATAAGTGTAAAGGCGTGGGAGTCGATGCTGAATTTTTCACCAAACTGCCATACAAAAAAAAACGGTATGATCCAGAAAATTATGTTTTTCTGTGGTATACCGATACGGAACTTTACATTATTTTTGCAATTTTTGCAAGGTTCTAACTCAAGCAAACCTCATACCTCATCAGCTTTTTTGTGAGTTGTTTTTCCGACGATTGCAAATGGCAAATAATTTTGTATTCCGGTCTGTTTTACTTTTTTTGCTACGCAAAATGAGGTACAGGAAATAATTATAAGAATGGGTCGAGTGGAGCCATTAATTATATTATTATTTGATCATTTAAGCTTTGAAAGCCCTTTAAGTCGCAAGCATTTTTTAAGCTTAGCTTAGCACAAAGAAATGCGAAAACTTGAATATCTGAATCTGAAAAAATTGAAGTTTAATTTAAGTTTTTTTTCTTTTTTCCATGAGTCTATCTCTGGAACAGTGCAAAAAATTGACTCAAATTTGATACAAAAACTGATAAAGAAAATTTTTTTTCGAAATAATTGTGGTCGCAAGCTTTTGTCCTCCTCAAGGGCAGATCTAGGATTTTCTCGATGAGGGCGGATTTTCAAAAAAAATTCAAAAATTTTGTTGACCTTTATTTTTAGGACGACCAAATGGATTTTCTGAGCTCTCCCTAAATACTATAAAGACACCAGTTCGACAAAATTTTCTGCGCCGCAACCAAATTTTTGAAAAAACAGGCCAAAAACTTTTTTTGGAAAAGTTTGACCAATCATGTTTTTTTTTCGGCGCGCGCTACCCCCCCCCCCCCCCAAAAAAAAACTTTGGCATATTTTGGCGCCAAAGGCGCCTTTCGAACCACTTTAGGGTCCGTCAGCCATGAATGGATATCTTAATGTTAATTGTCATAGACCCATATAAACTCGGTATTCAAAAAATGGTTTGCGACTTGAAGAGCCGACAAAATTTACCAGAGCATTTTTTTTCTGAGTTGGATGAAATAACAGTTCGCATAAACCGATCAAAATTGATATCGTGAAATCGATACCTGTTCTGTTGTATTTTGCGTTGGTATAGAGAACATGAACTTCAGAGAAATGAAACTCCTTTTTCTCTATTCAACTTCAGTCACACTTCATTCGTTTCTTAATTGGCACACCAAATCTCTATTTTAAGGTTGCGAATTAATTTTTACGATGTGGAGGCAAAAAGAATCCTTGCCTTATTTTTGTTCCAATATTAATTCAAATTTCTAAAAGGGATTTGTTAAAGGCCCATCTTTTGAAAGAAATAAAACTCAATTGAAGAAGAATTCGTGCTTATTCACTAATTCTAGAAACACAAAGGTTTCAAGGATTTCGCCAATTGCATTGGAAACATTTGCAAGTGCCATTTTTCAACCTATGAATCAGAAAACTGAGAAAACCAATTAAAACAAACGGTTGTGAAAAAATTTCCGCCTAACCTTTTTGCAAGTCTCTGCTGAAAGATAAATTTGAACTTCAATTTAAGCGAATAAAATTAATGTCAAAAAGTATTTAGTATGATTAGAATAATGAATTCAACGAAACGCAAAAAGATAAACAGACCAAATAAAAGATACACTGGGTGAAAAAAAAAAGGAAAATGCGTTTTTATCACGTTTCTGAAGAATGAAGCTGGCAAGTTAGCAGTTTTTCAAGGCGGAAAAACTTTCCGTTTCTCAGTGATAAAATGAAAATATAAGGTTTAGATTTAATCAATAAAAAATCTGACCTCATTAACAGGTGCGTTTCAAATTATGTTTCCCACAAACGCAACAGAAAAGAGAGAATTCTTCTTAAAACGGACAGTATCAAATAGGTGTCAAATCAGGGTATTCTAACTATTTCCCAAAGTTTTAATAAATTTCATAAGGGATCTATTAGCGACTCAAATAAAACCCTATTTAATGGATTAAGTCGATTGGATTTTATTGGAACCAAAACTCACAGCTACGTAAAATTGGGTCATTGTTCCATGAAACGACAAAAATGAAAAATGCGAACAGAAAGTCTTTAAAAAAATGAAAATTGGTCGCACTTTTACCTGCGTTTTCAAGAAAATCACACAATTTTACATACTTTTAATAATGCGACCAACCCATAACAACTGAGTTTTCAAATTGATCTTTTGAACTGAATCTGAGAAAAGAATGGCTAATTTTGGTGACGGTTTTGAGCGGTTTTCGAAGCCCGTTAAAAGTATGACATGCTATAACTTACCGTAACTGTAACTCTCTTTAGCTTTTATCTAAACTGGGTCGTCTTAGAAGCCCCGATCAATCAGGCTACTGTTTACAAAGATGTCCAGCTATAAATCTTCCCTGATCAGTTAAGAAGTCCCTAACGTGGGAATATAAATCAGAAACCTCTGTTGCAATATTTGGGCTAAATTATCATCCCAAATAGCGAATCCTTTTAACACAATGGCACGGGTTTCTATTGTGTGTCGAATCGCATACGGAATCCCCATGGCGATGTAATAAATCAATGAATGGATGTCTTTAATGTGCGCCTAGTCCTATAAGTTGGACATCTGATGTTTTACTTGCGCATTCATATTTTCTGCCCTATATTTTGTATCTATTTCAGCATATTTGGATGGTTACAGTAATACACTAATTTATTAAGCGGTCAGCTATGAAAATTGGCCGCAAAAAAACTTGAAGAACGACAGCAAAAAAAAGAGTATATCACTTTTTTAAACCTTTGTATCAATTAAAAAAACAGCACACTGAAGAAAGAGACTTTTCTGTGATTTAGTAACAACAAACCAGTCTCTATTTCTTTTGGATGAAGGTTTTGCCTGACTTTCTATTTACTGGCCACTCTTTGTTTTGATGTTTTGATAGAAAAAAAAATTATTAAAGCTCTGTTTTATATATTTTTGCAATAATAAATTCGTTGCTTATGCGTTTGCTTGAAGATGCTCGAAAAAAAAACTGCACATTCATTAGTGCAAATTTTCAAAAGTTGCTAATTTAAAAAAGGTCACACTATGAAAATATAATTTTTAAACTCATATTGTCGTCATGCTGGCCAGTCAATGAGCAGAATGATCTATGAGCAGAAAGGGTCTAAGAGCAAATAACCGGTCAAATAATGATCTAGACGGGCTAATCAATTTAAAAAATCATTAGAATCGTCAAACTATCAAGGAAATGCATAAATCATACATTAATTATATAATTTCATCAAATTAGTCTTATTGAACTCAAAAAAAATCTGATGAATTACTCAATTTATGCATGATCTATTCGTTTCTTTGTAGCATTGATAGTTCTAATTCTTGTTTTACCGATTAGCTTACAAAAATTAATATTTTTGAATTTTACTGTTCTTGGACCCTTTTTTCTGAAACTATTCTGCACTTTACTACGCCTCCAATTGTCATGTATTATAACATTTAAAAAAATCTATAGAAAAGTGTTATTTCAAAAAGAAAAACTCGCATGGAGACAAAGCGATAGCAGGAAAGAATTTATCTTCCCCTATTTTCACCGTCAGTTTCTGTTCAAGACTTTCGTTTGACGTTAAATAGAGAGATCGGAAAATAATTGGCTCTAAATTTTGATAAATTATAATCAGTTATTGGATCAGCTCAGATAAACACTGCCCCTTTCCCCATTTTTTGGAAACAGCTCATTCGAATAACTTTGTATTTATTTTTGACTCAGAATACTAACTAGGGACAAATTTTCAGTGATTTTCAGCATTTTTAAACAACTCTGAATTTATTTAGGCTGATTGTTTTTAATATCGAATCTTTTTGAAATTTTTTCAGTTTTCAATGGCTTCTTCAGAAAAATTTGTAAATCTATTTTGTTTTTGGAAAAATTAAATACAAAAATAGCAGATTACAAACAATATATTACGTGAAATTAATCTTGTGAAAATCTTGTTCAGCAATCAATTACAAAAATGAAAAAAAAAAAAATAAATACTGGATTGATTGTCTAATTTTTTACACTTTAGCGATGCGTATATTTTGTTGTTAAAATTTTGAAAAAAAAAGTTTTTTTTTTGATAATATGGAGATGGTTTTTTCTCATTGTGTGCTGAATGGGTTCAAAAGTTAGGACGAAGTTTTGGGTGGCTTAACCTTTTTTTCGAAATTTTAGTTATAGCCATACACCAAAATCTGTGAACTAATATATTCAGACCAGCTCTTTCAGTTCCATGAAAAACTTTTAAAAAAATATAGAAAAGCTTGCATCATTTTTTTTTACAAAATCCATGGACCTACCCAATCTAATTTATTTCTAGATACAAAAAATGCTTGAAGCAGAAGGTTTCGTCGCCACATCTTGTCGATCAATGAAGTTTGATTTATGCGAAGTGATCTAGTCTATATCATTGAGTGAACCTTTTTGTTAACGCGATTCAATGTTTTGCGTCTAGAAGTTTCTAGATGTTCCAGAATCGATCAGGCTGTGGTAGACTTGAACCTAGAGGTCAAACAAGGGCTCGTCCTTGAAGCCATGACAAAAGTCTCTACACACGATCTCAAATCCTCAAAGTGAACGCCTTATCATGATGCTAGTTGCCAAAGAACAAAGAACAATCTGCGGAAACCAACTCACAGATTTATATAGTTCAACAGTTTTTGAGGTGGTAGATTTAGTAAGGATAAAACCAGCAGAAACGTCACGAATCCCCAAAAATTTCATAGCGTTTCAATTTTCATAAGAATTCCGATAAATTTAACGTAGAAGTAGCCTGTTTTTTTGATAGATAAATTAGAAGGGTAATTTTTGAATTTTTGAGTGGTTTTAAAACTTTCATTGATAGCCGTTCATAGATCCTCTGCAATTAGCAGAAACCACTGTTTTTTTTTTGTTCATTAAATCAGAACATTTGAGCATTACACCAATATTCTGTAAAAAACTTGCACTTTATTCTGACAAAATATTAAACTACGACTCACCTCAGTTCTGAATTTCTTGATTGTATCACCTCTCTATAACAAAAGTGAACACATTTTAATTCAGAAATACTCAATAATTTCTATGATAATAGGGAATTGTACTATTATACAACATATTTGTAGGTTTGAACAGTTTATTTCTCAAAAATATGCATTTAATATCTTTAAACAACCCACCTTCCCAATGATGCTTCCGACTTCCTTTCCCTGCATGATAAGTCTCAAGGTCAACGTCTGAGGCGGAGAAGGCGAACCCCCTTCGACACACGCCATCACACTGCAATCATCGCCCATTCCCCCCATCGAACTCTGATGGTTGTGACCTCCCGACTCCATTTTGGCACCTGTCGACGACGGAGACAGTTCGTCTAGTGGCACTGTCGGCCCATTATCCATTGATGTGGCGTTGTAAGGAAGTGTTGCCGCGTTGCTCGCGGTGACGACCGAGATATTCGTGCCTCCAGCGGTCATCATGCAGTCGATATCGAGAGCCGAAGAAGCTCCTGGCGAACTTCGGTAAGTACTACTCAAGTTTTTGTTTACGAATGAGTTGTTTACCGATCTATTGTGGTTATAGTGGTTCGACCCTTTAATTTTGTTCTGATGATTTCGTTCCAAGAAGTCGAATCGGTTGAAATTGTGTGTGTTGTTAGCGCTGTTTCCTTGAAATTGCGTAGCTACAGCGGCGGGGTAAAGCATTGACGACAGTAAAGGGAAATCTCTAATACACAGAACCAACAGATAATAGAACTCAAGAAAGTTTGTAAATTTCGCTTTCGACAAATGAACAATAATCGGTATTAAGGGGACACTATTCACAAAAAGTTTATGGGTACTGAAAGGTTCAAACTATGATATGTCTGATAGGCTAGAATAGAGCAACTTTTAATTTTTTTTTCAACCTTTTATTACCCAGGAACCGATAATCAACTGAAAATAAGGAAGTGTAAAATTGTTGCAAGTGAAGTGTTTTTTTACAGGTTTGCGAGAAATTTTAATTAGGTTTTGGAATTTGAAATTGAGGTTGCAATATTGAGCTTCTAAGCTGGGGTCAATTTTGGGGTCAGATCAGCTGCTGAAGTTGGGCCTGAATGCGCCGGTTGCTATGTTAAGTTTTGGACTCACAGCCGGATGAAGATGTCAACTGAAACATAAAGGTCACTGGTTTGAATCTCGGTGGGGAATTTTAAGCTTTATTTGCCGTAATTCTTCATTTTTGATTTAAACGGTATTTTTTTATACTTAAAAACGGATTGCACTAAATTGCTTGTGATATATTGTAATAATTTAGCCCATGTTTCACAAATTTTTGTGTAGTAAAGCGAAGCTTGCTCGGACGGTAAAAGATAGCACTTGTAAGACCTTGTAAAAACTTCGAATAATTTCAAAACAAACATTGACTCTTTTGTAGTCTGTATATGATACCCTGTATAAAATAGAGGGCTGTACACGGGTGCAATAACTACTTCCAGATGGTAATATTATTAAACCCAGGCCAGGTCCACTAACCAAGTTAGTACTTCTAGCCCTTTTATTAACTACCTCTAATCAACACTATCAAAGTGTGCCCTAATTTACAAAAGACCTTTTCTCTCTATTTGAGTTTTCATGGTAGAATAAAAGGGACATTTGTTAGCCCAAACAGGGAAAGTCTTAACAGGCTTTGTATTAACAAACTTAAATTTCATTTGTTTTGGTTTCCCTGTTGAGAAGATTTTGTGCGGGAACTAAACTTTCAAATTTGAGAGCCAGACCCAAAGCCAAAACAATATTTTTAATCATAAAAGAACCTAAAATTTCTGTTAGAATTGAAATAGCGTTTAAAAGATAGCGCCCACAAAAATTTTTCAGCATACTACGCAGGGGCATATTTTAATTTGTCAAAATCTATTGATAAAAAGGTGAAATCTTGAAATTTGTTATTTTCATTCGACGTTGTTCATTAGTTGTTTGCTATTTATGCATTACTTCTCGTGTATAGCAGGGGGTCAGCATATTTCCTGAAAAAAAACTTCTATGAACTTGTTCAATTTATGATAAAATTTTCCATAAATTGTTGAACGAAAGTCATTTTTTCTGCAACCAAAAAGGAATAGAAAAAATAACGTCAACATTTTCAAAGAAAATAACTTCGTTGAAAACTGATTTAACTTACCAGATATTTTTTCAGTATATCCAGAATGTCGTCTTAAAAAGAATTTAAAAAAATCTCGTATATCCGAGAGTAAGTAGAGCAATGCAGTAGTAGTAACAGCGCTAATTTTATTGATTGTTTGCGCTCCGCAAATGACACCGTTTTCTGTGGTACTAGACTAGAAAAAATTTATTAAATTTCTTTGATATTTATTGCTCCTCAATCCCTCTAACTTCTCACAAGTGTATAATGTATGTCTCATGTCTTGAACTGTACGTTTAAATCCACCCCACTAATGCAAACATATGTGATGTAGAATAGCTAAGAAGTAGTATTGCCTATATTGGCTAGAATGTTAAAAACGCCAGCAGCCTCATTGCAATTTAAATTGAACAACAGATGAAATCATTAGAATGGCATCTTCTTGCTCATGCCTTGTGCATACATTGAAATCACCTCCTACAAAAAAACTTGATGCGTCAACAAACTTTGAAAGAACAAAATGACATTCATTATGTCAGAAATTGCATTTTTTTTACGTTTTCGAGTTGAAAGTATTTTTGTTTCGAAATCTGACGCAGCTTTCGTTTTTTTATTCGACTTGCGAAAGTATTGTGAGGACATTTTGCTTACAGAATATGTTTGAGAAAATCTTGACCTCTTTTAAAATTTGAAAACTGACAAAGTTTCTAATAGAAACTATAAAATGCCTGCAAGAATGCTCTTATCAGGACGAAGTCCTAAACGTTCCAACTAACTGACTTTTAAGCTCTGAGGAATAGAGTTTGTTTTTAAAAAAAAAGTGGCAAGAAACTTCCAAACAAAAGAAAAAAAAATTGATTTTTTGAGGTTTTTTCCAAACTGTAAAGATCAAAATGATAGATTCGGATATAGCAAAGCGTTGAATAGACCAAATAGAATGACTAAATTCGTTCTGGAATAATTTCTCAGATGGAATCATCATCCACCTAATCCAATAGCAAAAAATATATCGCGCGTCAATATATGTAAATCGGCCAAAGTGGCAATCTTTAAACCCCCATAACTTTACAAAAAGGTCTGAACAATAATAGTTGTGGTTTCAGCAATTCACAGAGGATCTATAAAACGCTATCCAGCCTGCCTCAGCATAATCATTGCTACCATTTGCCCAAAAGGAGATTTGTCAACGCTCAAATGGCATGTAACTTACAAAGTTATGCGATGAACGTCTAACAACGTATTTTGAAGTCCAAAAAGCCTAAATCAATTCTATGTGAAACTAATTCTGAAACGGATTATTCCGCCGCTTACGCGCTATTAGCAAGAAATATGGCACTCTTTAGATGTAGCCGGATTTCAAGCCCCCGTAAGTTTACAAAAACAATTTACAGGTGAAAATTAATATTGAATTTTGGGTCAACAAGTCAGTAGTCAACAAGTCAACAGTTTTTTCAAAGGATAAAATGTTCAAAAAGGGCTTTTTACAAAGCCAAAATTTGTCACAAAAAATAAAATCACAAGAAGCAAAACAAGTTTACTTTTTCGGCCAAAGCAGGATCACCAAGTTGACAGGATACTTGAAAAGCTCGGAGCTTCGCCTAGAGTTTAGCAGCCTCGTTTATTACGCGTGAAATTTGAATTGAGGAGGATTAACTTAGCTTGCTTTAGTTTCTTTTTGAAATTACAATTTGAGTTTTTTTGAAGTTTCCAATCGGAGTGTTGCTCATGAGAAAAAACCTTTGTTGTTAAATTTAATGCTATCGGTCATAAATAAAAATTGAAAATTTTTTAAGCTTATATTTTCGAAGTTCAAAAAAACGAGGGAATATTTGTGCTCTGCGTGTTTTTTTTCGACAAATTTCAAAATTTTGGCGGTTTTTTGTATGATCTGAAAGCAAGTCATGCTTTGAGCTCAAAATTGAAAAACTTCTTTTACATGCAATCTTTTTTGTCAAGTTAATTTGTTCTTGCCAATTTGGCTGTCTTGTGAAAAACCGCATAATGTTTCGCACTGCTCAGCGGAAAATTAAATCATTTCCACTTCAATTGAAGCAACTTGCTAGTTGTGCAAAATTATATGCTTCTAATTTCAAAAAACAACGTAATTTTCTCGTAGCGTGTGGGTGATGGATAAAATTTTATATGAAAAGTGTTTCATCGTTTTTTACGCCAAAATTTTTCGTCGATAAAAAAAGCAGTCTGAAAATCTAAGGCTTTGTCGTGATTCGAGAATTTTTGCTTTGTTTTGAAAATTGATATAAAAAGGAGACATGTCTTTCAATTAAATGGCTATGATGTAATTTTTGTTCGAAGTTTGAGATTTTTAAAAAATATTTCTTGCGCCTAGGATTTTGCCTTTGAAAAGTTCCGTTGAATATATAACCTTTTTGACAAAAATAATGATTTGAATAGCTTTAAGCATAACAATTTTTTCTGATCAAGAACTATTTTGTTGGGAATCGTGGTGTTTGAAGAACATATATGAAATTATCCAACGAAAACGGGGTATTAACCTTATACTTCAAGAGGAAATAGAAAAAATAAGATACAAAGAAATAAGATACAACACTGCTCAAATCAAAATTACGCAACCAGTATAAAACACATTATCAGATTTTTTTTGGAAAACAAAATATATTGGGTCTTAATCATTTACTAATTAATGACTGAAATAGAAGCAGTCATCAGAATTTTTCAAAGCGCTCTAAAAGTTTTTTCTAAAAAAATCTTCTTCCAGGAACATTAACATTTCGTTTAACCATAAGAGAAAAAAAAGCTTTCAATTTGATCATTAAAGCTGCAATTCTGGTTGAAAGGACTTCTTTAACGCTATTCTGTTCAAACTCAAATATTACGAAAAAACTCATAAATTTAAACAAGAGCTTAATAAAGTAGTACTTGAGAGGTCAATTTCATAAAATTGTGCAAGAAAAAACACAAAAAAAACTGGAGCTATTTTCTACAATCTAGCTAAAAATATGTTTCAGAGTGTACAATTAAAAAGTGTTGAACCACCGAAGTAAAAACAAACAACTTCTTAAAAACTGCTGTGTAAGTTCAAATATCTGGATCTTTCAGCAGTCGTTCAAAAAGTTTGATATAAACTTAGACGAAAAACTTCCATAATGATTTAAATCTCACAAACCCAATGTTAAGTGCAAAATGACTTACTTTGTATCTTTTAACAAATTGTTTTGATCAATTAGTGTGCCTCAACTTCAATTAGTTGCTGTTAGGACAAATTAAAAATCAAACCCGCTCTAAGAAAAAAAATTTTAGGTAAAGCAGATATCTAAATTTGAGCTCGACAAATTGTAATTTTTTATGTTTTGAAAAATTTTCAAATTAGGAGACCAAACTGTGCTCTGGATAGGCGCACAATTTAGCGTGTGAGGTCTCTAGAATCCAGAGACAAGTCTTTAAACGTGTTCAAATTTTGTAAGAAAACCTAAGAACAAAGGAAGATCAAAGAGAGCGTCTTTGTTGCGGAATCAGGTGACAACTCAATAAATACACAGCTTGGCCTCGTTATGCATCAAAAAGAAGAAAATTTGAAATCAGTAAAAAAACAACCTCGATTATGTCTTTTCTGTCACTTTCTTTGAAATTCAGAACACAAGTACAAATGGGGAACTTTTTAAAAAACTATCGAACTCACTTTTCAGCAGCGAGATGATATGGCGTTTGAGATCTGAAGGTCCAAAATTTATTAAGAACAAAAACTTTAGATGTTGAGAAAAGGGGCTGTTTTGTTTGTTGATGGTTGGCTAAAAGGGATCAAGTGAAGGTTGAAAATACAAACAAGTGAGAAAAATTTGGAAGTCGGTGAACAAATTAAGTGGGGAAAATGAGCACTACAGAAATGAAAAGAAAGCTAGAATGGCATCAGCGAATTGCAGTTAAAACAGAGAATTGTGAGTGAAAATCGACACGATAAATTTGCAGCTTGATTTTGCTCAAAAAGCAATAAATAAACAGAGAGGAAACGTAAAAAGAGGAAACGACAAAAACAAGCGACAGTTAACACA